CAGTGGTGAAAGGCGCAGGGTTCGGAATGCGCAGCACTAGTATTAATACTAGTGCTGCGCATTCCGAACCCTGTGTGAATTTTGCTGCTGCCGCTATCTGTAAGCAAATTGAGCCTGAACCTGTTGGGTGCAAAGCAGCTATCCGTATGATTCACAAGGGGGCGCATGCATTGCTAGTACGGCCTAAATTGCAACTGAATACAGCCGTTACCCAGATCACTGAAAATGACCCTGCGGTTGAAGCCCTTCTTAACGAATACTCAGATATCTTCCGTGAGGTCCCTGGACTTCCCCCGATGAGACCGGTAGATCATACCATACCTTTGGCTCCTGGTGTGCAGCCTGTTTTGCACCCCATGTAGCGCCTCAGTCCCCTGGAGCTGGATGAGGTGACACGCCAGGTAGCCGACCTACTGAGGAAAGGTGTGATTCGACTCAGCACATCCCCGTACTCTGCTCCCATGTTATTTGTGGGTAAAAAGGACGGGACTCTGCGTATGTGCATAGACTATAGGGGTCTAAATGCGACCACCGTTCAAAATCGCTATCCTATCCCACGGGTCGATGATCTACTGGATAGACTGCATGGCTCGGCTTTCTTTAGCTCTATGGACCTACAGCAGGGGTACAATCAAATCCGTATTGCTGAATCAGATATTCCGAGAACTGCATTTCGTACACCCTCTGGTCATTACAAGTATACTGTGCTGAGCTTCGGCTTGACGAACGCTCCTGCCACGTTCCAAGCCCTGATGGACCGAACCTTTCGGCCCTACATAGACCGTTTTGTCGTTTGCTACCTAGATGATATCCTGGTCTATTCAAAGACACGTGAAGAGCACCTGGAGCATTTGCGGCTGGTCTTTGAAATTTTGCGGCGTGAGCAACTGTTTGCCAAGCGTTCTAAGTGCCACTGGGCCCAGCCTCAAGTCGAATAACTTGGTCACATCATCTCCAAGGATGGCATCCGCATGGATCCCTGTAGCAGCTGGCCGCTGAAAAGGCCTCTCGAGATGCCAGTGACGCGCTACACCGTATTTATAGCGCCGTACTGTGTACCGGCTGCTACAATCCCCGTAAGACTGCTGCGGTGCGGGACTGGCCTAAGCCGACCAATTTGCAAGAACTAAGGAAGTTCTTGGGGCTGACGAACTACTTCCGTAAGTTCATCGAACGCTATGCCATTATTGCCGCACCTCTAACAAATCTGACACGAAAAGGGGCTTTTGTATCTCCTGACTGCTGGGGTCCTGACTGCCAGCAAGCTTTCTATACACTTAAGCGTGTTGTCTCTGAAGACATCATCCTGCGTTTCCCTGACTACTCCCAACCTTTCCGTGTGGAGGTCATAACTGATGCATCCTTACATGGTACGGGAGCATTACTGCTGCAAAACGGGAGACCAATCGCGTTTACTAGTAAGAAGTTCTCGGGGGCTGAAACCCGTTATACCACTGGGAAACAAGAACTTCTTGCTGTACTGAACGCGCTTAAGGAGTTGCGGTGTTATCTGGAGGGTCGGCCGTCCGGTTTGACTTCACATGGGAATACCTGCAAGGCATCCTTAACATTGCTGATGCCTTAAGTCGGCACCCTTGTCTGCATGCAGCCATTCTGTCAGTCGTTACACGCAACCATGCTGCAGCACCCGTTGTGCCCTCTGAACTTGTGCAACGACTTCGAGCTGCCTATGCCACGGATCCCTGGTTTTCCGATAACCACAATACTGGCCACTTAACCCGTAACAGTGGCCTTTGGATCCACCTTGAGGGTACATTTCGGCAGGTTGTCGTTCCGAATGATGACTTGCTGCGTCATGATCTCCTGTCACGTTTTCATGACGACCCGCTGGCTGGGCACCTTGGCTGCACCCGTCTGATCGAGGTTCTCCATCGTCAATTCTGGTGGCCTCGGATGGCTAAGGACACTGAGAACTATGTCCAGAACTGTGAGCTGTGCCAACGCAATAAAGTCCTGTTTGGTAAGCCCCACGGCTGTGTCCTTTGCCTGTGCCGGCCGCCCCTTGGGAAAGTGTTACCATGGACTTTGTTGTAGCTTTGCCCAAAACGGAGGGAGGATTCGATGCTGGTTTGGTCATGGTAGACCGACTCACGAAAATGGTGCACCTGGCACCTACCGTGTCATCCTGCACAGCTGAGCAAACTGCACGTCTGTTCTTTGACAACATAGTGCGTTTGCATGGTGTCCCCAAGAATGTTGAGACCGACCGCGGATCGCAATTTGCCAGCAGATTTTAGGGCACTCTGGGTGATCTGTTAGGTATGCGTGTTAACCTGAGCACCGCCTATCACCCACAGACCGATGGACAGACAGAACGTACGAGTTGCACTCTTGGCGATATGTTGCGCAATTATGCAGGTCGTACGCCTTCTGTCTGGGACACATGTCTAACTGCTGCTGAATTCCCGTTAAAAAATGCTGTGAATCGCGCGACTGGCAAAAGTCCGTTTTTCCTGAATTACGGATACAACCCTGCCTTGCCTATTTGGCGGGAGTTGGACGTTTGCCAAGTCCTTTGTGTCCCGACTGACTGACGCTAAATCTTGCCTTGAAGCTGCACAGCAACGTATGGCGGACTACTTTAACAAATCCCGATGTGCCATCACCTTCTCGCAGGACCAGTTGGTGATGCTGAGCACTAAGAACCTGAGGTCCTTTGTGGATGGTTCTCGTAAGCTTTTACCTCGTTGGGTGGGACCATTTCCTGTCGTTCGCATGGTTGGGTCTACTGCAGTCGAGCTGCGACTACCACCTGACATGCGCATCCACCCCACATTCCATGTCTCTCTAGTCCGACCTTTCCATACTACTGACACTGCTGATGCGCTTCAGCCAAAACCTGCTCCCACTGTCACGGAGCCAGGACCAGTTACTTGGCTTTCAGGCAAGCAGACATTTTACGCGGTTGAACGGATACTGGATTACCGTTCCCGAAAAGTAGGCAGAAACCGCCGCCGTAAGCGCACTGTGCACGAGTATCTTGTCAAATGGGCTGGGTACTCGGCTGAGCACAACAGTTGGGAACCAGAAGCTAACTTTACCCCTGATCTGAAACCTCTGCTGGAAGAAGCACGGCAACGAGCACGGGCGAGGTAAGATTTGCGGGTTAAAGGTAAGTGTTTAACTCCCGCACTTTTTGGCCCAATTCTGCTCTGCCAGTTTCTTACCATGCATCGAGGACGCTGCATCTAGAGGGGGGATAGTTGTTCACGGGAACTAACTGAATTCCAACTGCCTATTTTGCCACCCTTCTGTCAAATCTTATGGCTCCGACCTCTGGGTCAGACGGCGAGCGGGACGCTGTCATGGAGTACACACCGCCTCAGGTGGAAGTCCATACTTGCAGAAGTATGGGCGGGGGTCGTAGCACAGGCTACGACTGGGACACTGGTCCCTGGCTCGCAGAGCCAGGTCATCGATTGGAAGCATGGATCAACGGTACGCTATTCCGGGACTGGACCGCGCCATTTCGGAACTGGCTGTACGATTCATGGGATGGCCGCATCCTCCGCTATTTAAGCGGACGAAACTCTTCCAATCGGTGCCTTCTGACGCCACCATCCAGTTGTGGTTTGGTTAGATATAACAACCTGCACGATGCAGCACACAACCGACCAACCGACCAGCCAGTTGCCTAGCCACATCTCCCGACTCCCGTGCTCCCCGCTTGCCTAGTAACCCACCGTGCCGGCGTCAGGGTGCTCCGTCGACTTCACTGTCATCCGCAATCGGGCCAAACCGAAGTCCTGAAGGCGTGCGAGGGTGCGGGCGAGGTTGCAGGCGGTGGGAAGGGGAGGGGGGGAGGTGGAGGGGAAGCAGGAAACTGAGTGTGGCTGGATGCGTGTGGCCCCAGGAACGAGCAGGAGTCATGACAACAATGAAGTAAGCCCCGCCACAGGAACGAAGCCGTGTCAGGTCTCAGTCGGCCCATAGTGATCTGCATGCATATCCGCACAAGTCCATGAACACAGGCAAGGGGGAGCCACGCGCCCTACACACGTACCGTCAGCTTGACGATCGGCCTGTCGCTTTGAGGGTTGTCGATCAGCACGTTGGCTGGCTGTGGGCGGGCGGGCCGGGTACAGGAAAGGAGGCGGAGAAATGAAGCCCGTGGTGAAGGGCTAGCAAGACGTAAAGCTGTAGGTGGCTAGGACCTCAGGCTGATGTCGTAACTAGGAAAATCGGTTGTACATACCGGCAGTTAGGTGCATGAAGCATCGTGATACAAGCAATGTATGCAAGCGGATCGATCACTGCCAGTATCCTAGCTTGCTTGGCTGCGTGCTGCCCCCATCAACATGCACATACAAGCTGTGTGAGCCGAGCCTCTCCATCTACTTGCGGTGCAGGAGCTCGCAGCAGGTGCCAAACTAAGGATGCATGTACGCATGTGAAACATCACCATGGTTCGCAATCACCGACACTCACACACACACTATTGTCCACACCTTCAGGTCCCGGTGGATGATGGTGGGGTGCAGGTAGGCCAGTGCGTTGGCGATACAGATCCCAATGTGGAGCACCTGATGAACAGGGAGGAGACGGAAACAGATAGAAGCAGGAGGAAATGAGTGCATGACAGGCAGCAGGCGCCTAAATGCATTCCACAGCCCTACTTGCTGATTATCCAGGTAGGCAACATGCCAACTATACCATAGCTCGCTAGCCTCGCTGGATCCCACCTTCGGCAGCGGCATCGGCTGTTGGCCCGGGCTGTGATACAACAATTTGTCCAGGGACGTCTCCATGAGCTCCATCACCAGACACAACCGGGGCGGGCTTACACACGCCGCCAACAACTGGATGATGTTGGGGTGCTGGCAACGGCCCAAAACCTGGTGAGTGATTGGATGAACTTAGATATATGATCACGCATCGCATGTATGGCAACCGAGAAAAAGAGTATTATTGCCGACAGGCAGCAAGCTTTTGAATTGACATTGGTACACAAGCGAGGGTAGACGGGCCATGCTCTGCTATACTGTTGAAAGTGTGCAGTGGTGGCTCTGTACATACATACATACACCACTTCCGAGCATGGTAATCTATTTATCTTTTTACCTATTCTGTTTACCTTTACACTTCAGAACCCAAGTCCCCCCGTGGCTCACCTCAACCTCCTGTGCAAATGCCTTGATGAAGGTTCCGGGGGGAGCCCCCTCCACGCCAAGCAACTCCTCATTGGCCATTAACTTCACCGCAACGCGCCGCCCCGCATACAGCCCCTCGACCACCCGCCCGTAGGTGCCCTTGCCGCGAAACACTGGCATCAAGCTAACCACGCCGCAGCCCTCCCCACTGCTTGTATTGCTACCGGTCATCAGATCATTCCTGCTGCTGCTGCCGCCTTCGAAGCCCTCCGGCAGCACTACTGCCGCATTCGTAGCACCAGGTCCCACTGACGGCGACTCTGGTGTCGCTTGCTGTAGCTGCAGGCTGCTGTCTGTGTTGCAAACCACTCCATCCATTCCATTCGGCGGAGGAACTCCTGACGCCATCATGGATTCCTCTTTGATGGATTGAAGGCATGCAGCAGCACCAGGCCCAGGCTGCTGTGGGAAGTAGTGGCCGCCGCCACCAAGCCCCACAGCTGCAGCCGCTCCTGGCGGCAGTTGTGGAAGCGGCACCAGAGCTACATGGAGGGGGATGTCGGGCCTGCGGGGTGTCTTGGTGGTTACCGGCGGTGCCACGCCCGCGCAGGCCATGGCCTTGGTCTCGTGCACTTCTGTACGGCAGTGTTCAAGTTGATGGCGGAAATCAACATGGCGATGCTCATGAACGACGGTTACCGGTTGACATTAGGGGTTGGCGGTTGGCAACGGCCTCAATGCAACGCTGGAAGAACAGAAGGGCCCTGCCTCCGTGCGCACGGCATGCCCTGCCCATACGCGCTTGTGACGACACACAGGGGTGCGGGACATCTAAGGCGCTTGATTGACGTCACGCGTAGATTAGCTGTAAGTAATGAACAGCTGTAAACAGCTGTGAACAGCTGGAAAGGATGCTCAATCCATCTAAAAGAATACCCTATAATACATAAACAAACAACCAGCATGTGGACCAATGATCTAGAGCAGCAGTGCGATGCGAGACTGGAATAGGAAGCGGAAGTCTGCTTGGTTATATAGCTCGAAAGGATGGGGCTGGACGGACAGGAAAACGGATGTAACCAGAACGAGGCAAGTACGAGCATAAAATACATGCAAAAATATGCATGCAGGTATGCGGTTTTCCCTCCCAACTACTTAACACACACATACATACAGCTGCACAAACGAGAATATATATATATACCTGTTGGCGGTTGTTGTTTGGTAGATAGTGAAGATGACTCAGATGGCATGAGCAGATTGCTGGCGGCGGTGAAGGGTTTTGCCGCGGTGTCGTCCAAAGGATGTGTGCCCTGTGTGCTGTTGTCCCTGTAAGGAGTATGTAATCGTATGTATCTGGTAAATGATTTTACACCGGTTGCATGTAATAAGCGCTAAAAGGAAACATCGTATGTATGTATGTATGCCACTTGCGTGTGTTATGTCGTGGCGATACCCTGTTGATTGATGTGCCTTCATGCACGCATACATGCATAATAGGGTTTGGCACTACTGGTAACGCGCGACCATTGCCCCCGGGAGATCCCAGGATCGATACCCGTTAGGGTCAAAAATCCCTCCGATGGTGGAAGGTATTGCGCCCCTAGTTGATGGATGGTGGTGACCTGGGATAAAGATAACCTGCGAGCCGACCAGGAATGGAGTTGGGCCGCTGTCGACCCGGCAGATTCCGTTGGATGCTGGTGGTGGGTGCGGAACCTGAGCGATCCACTGAGAAGTTGACTAGGGTGACTGGATGAGGGTGCCCCGAAATACCGGGGAAGGCTGGGTTTCGCAGGGTAGCTGCCACGGGCGAAGATACACCCCCCTGTTTCACAAATCACACCTGCGTGGGGATTTTAATTAGAGACACAACCCGCTGTCCAGCTGTCGTCTGGATAGCCATCCTCTCGTGCACGCAATTTGCCAATAAAAAATAACGCTGGGCATTACTGATGCACGCCGTCAGCGTCGTCACCACACCACCATCTGTACCAGCAGCTTCAATTGCCCCTCCCAGTACCAGGTTACAAGTTCCGCACTAGTGCGGGGGTGTCCGTCAAAGCCGGGAGGCCATGGACTATATAGTACCACGCACCACCGCCATCGTTGTTAACAACAAGAACTGAGTACAAAGAATGTCAGCGGCTAGCAGCCGCAGTAGTTGACCACCCGCCCGAATGAGCGTCTCACTGCGTCATCACGCACCTTCGGCCACCCGGCTGTGCCCTGCTGTTCTCCAGCTCCAACTCCAGCAAAGGAGTCCCAGCAGGAGCACCCAAACTCCTATCATCATCCCCGCCAGCAACCGCAGTGGCATCCGCAGTGGTTGCAGCAGGGCGGGCGGTCGGAGTCCTGCCCTTCCGCCGCAGAAACACCGCTGCAGCAAACCCCAGCAGCAAGGCAAATGCCGCAAACCCCCCTGCAGTGCAGAGCGAATATTAGTACAATTGGGAGTGCAACTGGGATGCTAGATTGTAGAAGCAGATGAGATGGATACAATGATATGCACGGTCACGTGTGCACCTTTCCTGGAGGCCTTACCACGATGAGACCTCCAACGATGGAATGGAAAACTGCTCCTGGGAAAGGGCAGCTAGCAGGTTTGGTACTACCGTCCCACGCTTGCAGCATGTGGTCAGTAGCTTCTACCCTCACTGCCCCCATTCACGCACCCATAGGCATCCTGGCACACGTGCTGTTTGATTCTTTCGCTTGATTGCCCACCGCCATGGGGTGCGTGGGTATCAATGGATAATGTACTCCGCTCCCTAGGAGTGGAACCCCCCGCACTTTGCCTCTCACTTGTACATTTGCAGTAATGCCTTGCTGGCCTATACCAGCAAAACCACAATGTCAGGTGATTCAATGTTGGCCTACCTATCAAGAGCCATATACCCCACCAGCAAGCAGAACCCAGCCCAGCCCAACCAGCAAAATACGTAGCTTCCGCTTTTCTCCTCACATCCCCTCCGCCGACCCGCCTTCCCGGTCCCTCTCCCCTTGGAGCAGCTCTTCCCGTCCGTACCGTCCTCTCCCCATCCCCAATCTACGTGTTCGCGGCAGCTCCCGCACACATACGCATGCGGGTCGCCTAACCCATTCAAAGGAAGGTTTACTCACCATGCACGATCATGAACCCCAGGGGCCCGATGATGAAAGGGAGCAGCACCATCCCCCGCCCCGCCTTAACCTACGTATCCGCAACAGCTCCCCACACACGCACACAGCTTCCCACCCCCACCTACCTACAGTCGCTCCCACCACAACCGCCGTGCGGCTGCTGGCGCTGCGGTCTTTAGGCACCGGCTGCAAGGTGGAAAGGCTGCTGGTGCTAACACTGTTACCGCCACTGCCTTTGGCCCGGTTGACGGTTTCTGCGTAGCATACGAGGGGGTCCCTCTTCAGCAGGCAGTCCATGTCTACGTGCACTTCACATACGGCGGTCGTGTTGAGGAATCTGAACAGCAGGTTGGTGGTGCGTAGTGCGCCGCTGGTGGCGTCGACTTCGGTGCATTCAAAGGCCCAGTCGCTTGAAAAGACTTTATCCGCCCAGCACCGCTGAAGTGGCGGCGCAGCTTGTGAATCCACACAGCCGTCCTGAAGCGCAGGCCAGGCATATAGGGCGTGGCTTAGGCAGGTGGTGTAGTAGGCCGGCAGGCAGGTAGGAAGCTAATTTAAGCCGCGCCAGCGAGCACAGTTCCCGGGTGTGTGAAGCTTTTATATTACAGCAGCAAGTGTACCGAATTTAAAGTCGGTCCCTGAGATGTCCCAATACTGTTCATGTATCAGGTCCCCTCCGCCGTACCATCCTGTGAATCCTAACTACCTTCTCCTTGTTATCACCCTAGCTCGCCGGTGAACCCTCTCGCTGCAAGTAAGCCGCTAAATCCGTTATGAATTCTCTTAGCCTCCTGCACCCGAGCGTCTGTGCTACGGCTGCTAGTAGCTTCCCTAACGCTTCCAAGGGATATGGAAACCTTACCACATTTACAAAGAACTTCCAGTCTACCGTTAACTGTACATCATACTTTAGGGTGCCTAAACATGTACCGCACTGAAAAACTTGTATACTCCCGCCTACCTGTCTCATACCTCTACCTAGGCGTAGTACATTCAACAACTAACCCAGCTAATGTCTAGCTGGTCACTGGCCATTCAGCTGCACGCATACCCGGGTAGGAACCTGCACTATGGGGCAACTTGCCGCCCGACGTAGATGTGCTGCTATGCGGATGCGCAGCAGCTGGCAGCATCCACACTCACCTGTGGGACATTTACCAGCGTTGTCTGGTTTCCCGGGTATTGTGCAGGTCGGGGCATCGACGAAACGTCGAGCACGCGGAAGTAGCCTGGAAAGCAGTACGCTGTATAATGATGACAGGTAGATTTAGGGATGCACACACGTGCACACATACAGGAATTGGTCATAGGTTGGAATGATTGAGGGGTGTCGTTACGGAAAGGGCATGACAGCAGATCGTAGGTGGATGGGCAGGGGTTGTGTAATGGGTGCATCAGACAAGAGAGGGCATATGTATGTATGTATATAAGTATGTATGTATGTAAGTATGTATGTATGATGTGTGGGTCAGGGGGGTCACAACTTCACCCTGTGGCCGCTACCCTGCAGATCCTGCCTTCCCCGGTATTTCTCGGCACCCTCATCTAGTTACCCTAGCCAACTTCTCAGTTGATCGCTCAGGTTCAGCACCCACCACCAGCATCCAAAGGAACCTGCCGGATCCACGGCGGCTCAACGCCATTCCTGGTCAGCAAGCAGGTCAACTTTATCCCAGGTCACCACTGTCCAACGAATAGGGGCATTCTTACCTTCTACTATCGGAAGGATTTTCGACCCTATCAGGTCTCGATCCCCGAACCCCCCGGGGCATCGGTGTGTACTTTACCAGTAGTGCCTGACTTGTATATATGTATGTATGTATGTATGTATGTATGTATGTATGTATGTATGTATGTATGTACCAAAGAGAGCGTAAGAGTACAAGTACACATACATATTCTATGGTCAGATGGGCAGGGACCGAGGAGTTTCATTTCATGCATGGCTGGAGAGAGGAAGGGGGCTAAGGGTTAGGAGGTATAGGGTTTGCATGATGCCCGCCAAGTAAGTAAGTTACACCACAGGTACGTACATGCCCACGAATCCTCCTGCTGCCCACTGTGGATGACCTGACTACTGCTCAGCTACGATATCAGCAGGACAGCAGGTGCTGTTGCGAGATAAGCAAGGACCCCTTGGGGGCCCCCTCACACAACCTGTTGTATACCGCTTCTTAAATCTGTTCCCAAACGGATACATTTTCTGTCTAGTTTGTCCTTTTGCGCTTGGCGCGGTTGCTGGACAAGTTTGCGGGAACTAACTGAATTCCAACTGCCTATTTTGCCGCCTTCCTGTCAGATCTATAGCTCCGACCTCTGGGTCAGACGGCGAGCGGGACGCTGTCATGGATGCCTACAAGTACACACCGCCTCAGGCGGAAGTCCATACTTGCAGAAGTATGGGCGGGGTTCGTAGCACAGGCTACGACTGGGACGCTGGTCCCTGGCTCGCAGAGCCCCGTCATCGATTGAAAGCATGGATCAACGGTACGCTATTCCGGGACTGGACCGCGCCATTTCGGAACTGGCTGTACGATTCATGGGATGGCCGCATCCTCCGCTATTTAAGCGGACGAAACTCTTCCAATCGGTGCCTTCTGACGCCACCATCCAGTTGTGCTTTGGTTGGATACAACACAACCATAAGTCTCCATAGATCTGGTCTGGGCGACACTACTGTCTTCTTAAGTTTAAGGTCCTGGGTTCAATTCCTGGGGAGACCCCCAACGTTGTCGGGAGCGTGAGATTGTGGCTAGCTGCTGAGATGTGGAGTCAAGATCACAATTGATGGATCGAGATTCGCACGCTGGATTGGTGGCGATTGCTGAACCCTCTGTTTCTGCGGATGTTCGGGTGAATGGATGAGGAGGGATCCTAGTAGGCAGGATCAACCGCCTTGGACTTCCAGTTCGTATGGCGTAGTACAGTGTGGTAATGGTGGATGGTGCTGTATGGTATGATAAATCGTAGAAATGACAATGTGTTCAAATGGCCCAGAATCCTCCCACCCTGTAACAATGAATAAGTCTCCAAACCCCCCATTCCAAGGAAACCATACTTGCTGTTTTCGCCCGACCACACCCCACCGACCACACCCCCACATTTCCCCCCTCCTCCCTCCAGCCTCACGTGTGTGCACCGCAGCAGTGGACAGCCACACCTCCCCGGGGGGTCCGCCCGGATCCGTGGGGACAAAAATGTCGGAGCCTACACGTGGGGTTGTGGGTGGGGTGAGTCTTAGGCAGGAAAGCACTGGCAACACACCATAGCAGTACAGAAAGCTCGGCGTATTAGCAGGCAGCATGCATGTTAGGACAACTAGTGGATAGGGTCCCTAGCTGCTGCTGATTACAGGGGAACGAACCATATGCATGTGGGCTCCTTCATCACCGCCCTGCTAAGTAGGCTCCCCTATTGCCCTTGGCCCCTTAGTGCAGGATGGCCGCCAACATATACGTAGAAGGTAGACGTACTAGGTAGGTATTGACAATATCACTACACAACTGAGGAGGGTTTTAACGAGGGACAGGACCACTTCCTTCTGCTGGTCTGAACCCGCCAGTGCGCCGCTAAGTATCTAGTAAAGCAACGGCCTGTAAGGTCTTTGGCCGTCTAAAGATTTCATCCTGGTGTTTATGTAATAGAATGGACGTTGCCCCTGTCGATAAAACAAACTCCACAGTGGCCCTAAGGGACAACTTAAGCCCCACAGCTACCCCATTCACAAGACCGTACCTGGCATCCGATTCAGGTTGCCAAGCAGCCCACCCATGTACACGTACACGTATCGGAACGTCATGCGTACTGTTCCGCCCAGTCGCACCTGCGGCGGTCCCAACAGTCATATCCACCGCATCGCATGTTTCGCATATATGCACGTATACTCATACGAAGGTTGTAAGAATGCATGCATTTGAAACGTGCATTTGGATTAATACACAGCTACGCGCCCGGGCGCCCGGGCCCGGCAATTGTGTTACAGTTGGGTGTACGTACTTCATTAAGCATGCAGAAGCACCGTCCACGATTAATAAGGATGCATTGCTTAAACGTCATCGCGTGATCCGTACTCACTACTAACTTATTGTGGGGAAGGCCATTGCGTCTGCGACCACACTCCCGCGGTACCCAAACCCTTCAAAGACAATTCCGATCAGCCATTTGGCTGTTAGTGGGAGGGCGGGTGGGCCGCTCGCACGGCAATCGAGTAGAGAGTACGAAAATAACCTAATGCAGTCATCGACAGCAGAAAACGTAAGCCTCCAGCCTCATGCCGACTCTCTTACCTACCATTCATATTCTCTACCTCGTTCCCAAGACTCCGCCGCGTTGCCTCTAGTTCGGCTCGTGCCACAGGTAACTTCGCTCGTCGCTACTTTGCCATTCACCTTCGCCTCCACCCAGCCTCTGCTTCTCCACAGAAGCGGCGACCTCCTTCGCCGTTGTTACGCCTCGTCTATGCGAATCCTCCTCATCCGACTGTGTCTTCTGCCTACCCGGTGCGCGCCCCCTCTCTCTGCGCATCCTTTTCTCTGGCCCTGTCTTACGGTTGCCTACCTTACTGCAGGACTCGCCCCTTGCCTGTCCGGTGCCGGGCAGGCTTTCCTTGCCTTCCCCGGCCCTACTTGG